GGTCACTGAATTTCTGATCAGCTACTACTTAGAATGGGCCACATGATCTCTCTTTAGCTACTGCCTAGCAAGGGCCATGTGATATCCCACCATTGACTACCTAGAATGGGTCCTGTGAACTCTCACCAACTATGTTCACTTGGTCACGGGTTCATTAATTAAAGAACAGTAAAGTGTCAATGAAAGATCTGTAACTGAGTTGAAGGTAGAAAGTCCACTCATTGAACAGTCACAGTGTTTTATGTATTCCAGTGCAACTAAATTCCACAGAGTATCTCAAATGAAGTGTTGAGGGGTCTTCTTCCTGAAGCCTGTGCTGCATAATGTCCTCTTTTTATATCATCTTTATATTATCAATTGGATTCAAACTTCCAAGCGAAATTGAGAAACTTCTTATACCAACACTTTTATATGTTAGACTTTCTGTATGTAAGAGATAGCGAGGAGCTTAGAGTTGGAGTGTTTGGGATTAGCTCTGCTGCATTCCAGACAGGTGAGCAAAAGGAATCAAGATTCAACCGACACCAATACACTGCAGTAAACCCAGATAGTAAACTGAACCCTTGAGAAGGTAGCTTGTGGGCATTTCAACTTTACCTCCAGTGCACATATCACTGCCACATGGGATAGATCAATTAGCATGCAATTGTAGTAGTATGACCACATAATCAAAACCTGTATGTGTAGCTCTAGTCCAGGGGTAGGCAACCTTGGCACTCCAGCTGTTGTGGAACTAAAAGTCCCATGAGGCATTGCTAGACTGTGACAGCCACAGGCATAGCTCCCGGAGGCAAAGACATGATGGGATTAGTAGTTTCACCCCAGCTGGAGTGCCAAGGTTGCCTACTCTGGCTCTTTCTTTCCTTTAGCAAATCAAAGGAGCTGTACAAAGACACATTTGGCACATATTGGTACTGAGGTCAATCTAGCAAGACAGGGAGCGTCTCTTCTGCTTTTGTGTATTAAGAAAAATAAACATGTCAAAGCAAAGCGAAGAGGATTTTCTTGGAGTTCTGCTTGATTGTGGAAAGGGGCCAGAAGGAAAATTTCCAGATCCTTTTCTCTTTTTTTTTTTGTTCTATTCTGCTTCACCTTCTTAGGAGATACTTTGGGCATTTGTAACCCTGACGAGTCATGTACAGGTGAAACTCGAATAATTAGAATATCGTGCAAAGTTCATTTATTTCACTAATGCAACTTAAAAGGTGAAACTAATATATGAGATAGACTCATTACATGCAAAGCAAGATAGTTCAAGCCGTGATTTGTCATAATTGTGATGATTATGGCTTACAGCTCATGAAAACCCCAAGAACCCCAAATCCACAATCTCAAAAAAGTAGAATATTACATGCAATCAATAAAACAAGGATTGTACATAGAACAATATCGGACCTCTGAAAAGTACAAGCATGCATATGTACTCAGTACTTGGTTTGGGCCCCTTTTGCAGCACTTACTGCAATTACTTTTGCACGATATTCTAATTATTCGAGTTTCACCTGTATAGTCTACTGCACCATTAAAAAGCACCAGCAGCACCTTCATTTCTTAAAGTGACACTAAACTTGGGAGTTAAATCTTAAAAATGCATTCAAGTACTTTAATTATTAACAAAAATGTATCTTATTTGTGTATCACTCGGCTGTAGATCTTCAAATCATCTCTGAATTGATGCTGACACTGTCCTTCCTTCTGGAGGGGGGCTACTTTTGTTCCCTATGGTCCCTGTGTGTGTTGTAAAGTAGTCACCGTTCCAAGATCACTCCTGTGATGGACTACAATCTCAGTACAAAACATGATATTGTAGTCCATCACCAGAGTAAGCTTGGAGTGGTGACTACTTTACAACGCACACAGGGACCATGGGGAACAAAAGTAGCCCCCCTCCAGAAGGAAGGACAGTGTCAGCACCAATTCAGAGATGATTGGAGGATCTTAAGCCGAGTGATACACAAATAAGATACATTTTTGTAAATAGTTAATGTCTTGAATGTATTTTTAAGATTTCTAACTCCTGAGTTTAGTGTCACTTTAATTTCTTAATAGGACCTCCCCATTGACTCCAATGCATTTTACCAAAATAGCAAAACTTCACCATAATCCTACGATTTTTGTTAAAGTTTCAGGTAAAGTAAACTTCCCTTCACTCATCCCTACAAACAATATACCTTTTCACACTGGTAGAAAACGAATCACACTTTGGTAAAATCATTTTTTTTTTGTCATGGTATTCCTGCCCTGCAAATCAGAGGCCAAACATTTCTACAGATTGAGCAAAAAACAAAACAAAACCAGGAGCACACAAATGCATTTTATATATACATTTTATTTATGCTTATTTACATGTACAAATATATTATTCAATTTTACATTCCAAGGCAGGTTGCAAGAAATGCGTATTCACCAATGTTATCTGTTTTCTATGGTGTGAGGATACAAAACAAAAAAAGAGGTGTGCCGTATTCCATAACAAACTTCAGAGATCATTAGTTATTTTCTTCTCTATGACTCACTGTGTTTTTTCACTGTTATGTTGAAAAATCCAGATTGCATTCTTTAAATGCCAGACTCCAGCCAAAAATATGTTATTTACTTTAGATTGGGTAGTTGGTTAGATAAAGGATTAGATTTGTGGTTGGCAAATTACTATGTATAGGCATTGGGGGGCCACAGTTGCAAACGATGAGATCAACAAATCGACATGCATAGTAATCAGTATGTGGCAGACAACACAACAGTTGCTTTGTTTAAGGGTTTATCTGAGACAAACTGGCGTTTGCAGGTACATTGTATCCTTTTTCAATTCCACCTCTCAACAAGGCAAAGTAAAAAGTGCAAGACTGTGCAAAGCATGCTTCCTTAAAGTGACATTAAAGGCAAAAATGTTTTTGCCTCAACACGTTAATAAAAGCACTTACCCTAAATGATGTCTCTTAATCCGATCATCTTCTTCTTTCCCGTAGTTTTCAGCCTTCTCCCCAGCGCTGCGGCGAGTGTCCGATCCAGCGCTGACTCCTCCGTGATTGCTGGCACGTACTCTCCCACGGTGTCTGCATTCGGGTGCACGCGACCATATACAGACCTTGTGTCTCTCCTCACGTCCCGGCCGAAAATAGTATCCCCTCTAACAGCTGGTTTGCACCACTGCTGTTCAGCCATAGCAGATTACACCTTCCTCTAAAGAAACTGCCAGCTTACTTCTTGGGTACTAGGGCTCCAGCCCTCTACAACTGAGGGGCGAGGCCTATCTGTCCCAAAGGAGTGTATATCTGTCCCTACCTGTACACTTCTCTGCAGCATAGGGCCTCCTTGTGATGGGGAAGCGTTTCTGTGTCCAAGGTGGCCAACTCTCTGTACAATTAGACACAAGCTCTCCCAAGATGGCACCCGGAGTCCATGGCAGAGAATGCAGTGGTCATATGCTGGGCTTCCCATAGTGCAAGCTCTGAAAAATATACACCCCCTATGGAGCAGAGCGATTTTCTAATTTCAATTTCTGAGCCTGTTTATTTGATAATAACTTTGTCATTACTTAAGATAACAAAGTAATACATATAATATTGTTCTTAGGACAAACAAGGCTTTCTTTTGGTGATATTGTCTTGCAAAAATTATTTTACTTTATTCAATCCATAGGCAAAAAAAGTAGCAAAACTAACAAAAATGTACAATTTTTTCTACTTTGATCAGTGTTAGTTTAAAAAATAATAGTGTTACTGTAGATACCATTTTTATGTACATTGTTTAAAATGACACTAAAACGATGATTCTGGTCTAAAGCATTGCAAAGGTATTTGAAATGAAATAAAGGCTTTTTTATTTTCTATTTTGTGCTTTTTTTTATGCATCACAAAAGAAAATTAATAATCAGAATGAAAAAAAACAGAAAATGGTTCATTAATAATTATAAAAAAATAGAAGAAAAATAGAAAAAAAATCAAAAGGAAAATATTAGCTTAGGGGAGAGGGGGGAATAAGGGGTGCAGTCCTGGTGTGCATTTTACACCATATAGCCACGTCCTCCCATCGGGAAGAAGAGGCTGCTACACACAGCACCTGTCCCCCCTGGGAACGGCCCGATGCAGTCATGCATGCCGCACGGACGTGTACGGCCCGAGTTAACTCTGTGTGAATGAGGCTTTCATTAGAAAAACTGCACTCAGGAACACCCACAATTATATGTACAAAATATGCTCTTTATTATACAAGAATTAGAAAACAAAAAAGTTAAAAACAAACATCTTTGCATAACATACTTTAAACAACAGATGTGTCATTAAAATAACAGGGTGCCCCCACTCTCAAACATCCGCCTCCTGAAAAGTGCATATTTTGATGTAGTGGTTCTAGTAAAACATGTCAATTTTTCTTCTACATTAATTTGTGGTGGATGAAACAACTAAGAGTGAACGTCTGCTACATTTCACCATTTCTAAAACAAAATATTATATCAAGTGTAATAACTGGAAACATTAGAACAATAGTAACTACAGTGTGATAAAATCTGAGTTTGATTTCTATAAACTATTGAACTTAAAAGGTACCGAAAAATGGCTATTTGAGAACAGCAAATTTATGGTGTGCTGTAGATAAACCTAAAAATACATTTTATTTGTTGCTACACATGCACCTTGTAACCTTTAAAGCCATATGATTTTTATCATTGTTTTTGCTATCTATAATAATTTACCTCATTAGCCATGCAATCTTTGGCCCTTCCTTCTCCAGGGTGACAACACTCATGGTATTAGCGCCCCACCATGCGCACTCTTGCTGTGTGACTATAGGTCTCTTCAACTAATAGGAGGAGGAAGGAGGTGAAGTCTGGGGTGGTGTGGTGTCACTGGAAATGATGCGCCATTGAAGATTCTTTTTGCCCCAACCAGACCAGATAGAGGCACTCAGCAAGCGGTCATGTGACTGCTAAAAAATGAAGCCAAAAGTGTATTTTTGATGCAACTGCATGATTCATAGACTTAGTCCACCAGTTGTATACACAATACATCCCATACATTATACAGCAACATGACCATTTTTAAACTTCTTATCTGCTTGAGCCGGGGGACGTCTTTCCCAGCCCTGCCGTATTTTGGTAATCCTTTTATCAATACATGGGATTATGAGAATGAATTTGAGGATCAGCACGATACATGGGACGACCAGAGAGAGCGTATAGGCAGGTGGCATACACCATCTGAAATTAGCCACATTCAGGAACTTGTTCCAGCCATACAAAAATGCGTGTCCTGTGCACAGCACCAGCGTGAGGTAGCCCAGCTTAGACTGAAAAGAGAAGGAAAGAGATTGATCAGGATCGTGATGTGCAATAAAGAGAATGAAAACCTATGTTGAAATAAAGCAGGACTTCAGGGAAAATTAATCTTAACCATTGCAGTGGGGCCCTCCCCTGTGCTGCAAGGGTCAAGTGCTCTTTTTTGCCTAGGTTCAAAAATAACAAAGTTATACTCACCTGATGCTTTGAGCCGGCTTGTCCTTAGTGCAGTCCCCTCCGCCTCACTCCCTCTCCGCTGCAGCGGTCTAAGGCCCCTGTGTATAGGACGCAGAGGGACATACCATCGCAGGAGAGGAGGAGACAGACAGAAGGGACTAAAACCAAGCCGGCTTGGAGGAGTTGGTAAGTATAAATTTGTTATTTTTGAACCTAGACAAAAATTAGCACTTGACCCTTGCAGTTTCCGGGGTAGACCCACTGCAAGGGTTAAGAATAATTTTCCCCGAAGTGCTAATTAAATTAGATTCATACCCAATAACTAAAATCTCAAGTATCTCAAATTTAACATGTTCATAATATTTTAAAAGTTGTTTTTAATATATTAAATCATCAGCTTTCGTGAACAAATACTACGTGGTCCTGCCATGAAGGCCCTCGTTCAGGTGCTTCCTGTTATGAGGTGACAACCGTCTCTTATTTGTGCTCCTGCGTTGTCACACTGTCCCCCTGATAAGGACTACAAGTGAACGATCCGACATTGCAGAAACATGATCCACTGTTGCCACTAGGAAACCAGCAACAAGCAACTGACACTAGAGCTGATGCTAGGAGTGAGTGCATGTAGATAGGAAATGGTTAAAAGAGGCCAGAGTAGATCAGAAGCACAAGAAACAAAAATGACAATTGTTCACTGTATACAATATTTTAGCAAACTTGATGTCATCCTCTTAGGGATTAAATCTAATTTACAATCTACGATATATTTGTAGTTAGCACATATTCTCAATCATTATTAAGTGTACTTGAAATAATTTTTTATACAACCTGCTATTTGCATTTTTTACCCCCTAGCGTCTGTCTGTACATTGGACTTTGCAGTTGGCACCTTTGGTCCGTGACTACTAAGATTACAGGATAAGTCACCAATGAGACCAAGTAGACCGATTACATGTGCAGAATGCCTGCAAGGAATACTCATGTTAAACTAGCCATACAAGGCTTGAATGTTGGTCGATTTCTGCTGAATCTGCCAACATTTGAGCTGTGAGTGGCCTTGTCAGCACCCCCCAGCCCGACAAAAGTCCATTTACAAATCGACTGAGCAGATGGAGAACTCTCAACTCAACAGAGACTGGATCCCATCAGATGCAGTCATTATTTGGGTATTCAGGCAGTTGCAATGGCTGGCAGGAGAGATTCCTCCATCCACGCAGTTTAGTGTCAGTAGGGGAGTCAAGTGATTTTCATCCCATTCATCCGGCAGGCTGACAAGAGAAAATCTCTACATGTATAGATAGCTTTAAATCTCTGCAGATAATGTATGCATATGTGGACGGCTGCTGACTGATAACTGCCAACTGAGATAAGGTTGAGGTGGAGTTAAAAATTAATTTGCTGGAGGGCTTGATCTGTTCATGTGTGTTGCTCTTTGAATGATCGTGTTCACTGCCCTCCATCAGAATTTCTTATTTATTCTTTTAGTATGACCAGGACAAAAAAACATAAAAAAAATAAAAACATGTTTTCTAGGTTATCTCTACCTAATTTACTGACAAATTGGCTGATTTTTGTTTTTTTTTACAGATTTAAATAGCTCATGCTGTAATTTGTACGCACACAGCTGAATAAATCAAGGTAATCTCTTCCCCTACCCTGCCTGTTCAGATCTGTACAAAGTCTCAGTCAGAGAGAGATAGTCCAAAGACAAGCAACTTCAGCTATATTATCTCTTTTAAAAAAAATAATACACATTGCCTTTAAATCCAGT